GTGGTCTCCGCGACCTGCGCCCTGGCTCACTTGAGAACGACCTCGGGGGGCCTTTAAAAATTACCCAGCTCCGTCCCTCGGGAGCCTGATCTCATTGGTTCGGGGTGGCAGTGGGCATCCGTATTATTTAGAAGCTCTTCAAGTGGTGGAGCCGTGAAGCGTGAGTGGAGGACGAACCCCCGTGGCCTAACTTGACCTCTCTGGGTTCAGCTCCGCCACCCTAAAGACAAACTTTTCTGGCTTGGGGCAGCTTCGTATACATTATCTCCTGTGCCCACTGGCGGAGAGCGCAAGCTGAGTTTCCGCTTTGAAAACGCGATCCTGCTGGAGTCGTGGGTTGAGTCTGGATCTCACTTGGCTCGCCCGGTCCTCAAGACCAGCTGTGGCCGCGGTTCTTAGATCTGGGAGATGCCAATCCAAGGCCGTGGCGGTGCCCGACTTTAACCAGGATGAGCTAGATGCTGGTTTATACTTTCTGGGAGGGAAAAAAACGGTTTTACGGTAAAAAAAAAAAAGACCACAAGTTTCTTTCCCTGGTAAGGGAGAATCACTAGTCCACATCTGAATACAGAAAAACGAAACACACACACATACAAACCTTAATTAAGGAAATCTGTTTTGCTATACAAGATATTTTGTAACTTGATTGTTTTTTGTGCCGGTTTTCTGTATCCTTCCCCCAACCCCCCGGGGATTATCCCCAATAAATAATTATTGCAGTACTTTTTACCAGAGCTATAAATACCTGGTTATCTTAGTACCTCAGCAGTTTTCCAATAATTTACAGTAAGATCCAGGGCAATGTTACAAGTGTTGAGAATAGGTGCATCCTTTCTATAAGAACTACCAATAAGTTCTAGGTTTGGCGTTTTGTGTTTGTTACAAACTTTATGAGCTTATAATAAACGTTCACTGCAAAGTTCATAAAAACGCTGCCTTTGTTTAGTGCTTACGATGAGCCAGGCACTTCACGCATATCATCTTTCACATTCAGAACACCGCCTTACAGGGATGCAGACTTTGGGCAAGCTGGGAACAGATTCACCTGTATGATGGGTGTGTTTAAAAAAAGAAAAGACAGATCGATGCCCCAACTCGAAAGAAAGAAAGAAAGAGAGAAAGAGAGAAAGAAAGGGAGAGGAGAGGAGAGGGGGGGAGGGGAGAGGAGGGGAGGGGAGGGCAGGGGAGGGGAGAGGAACATAGAAAGGCGTCCCTCCCTGCAGATAGTGTAGCCCAATTCCAGGTTGGGTTAGTGGAGACCTATTGGACTTTAGGGAAGGAATGTTTCCCAGAAGGTATTATTATCCTTGGCTTTTTACACTGAAAGCGTGGAGATGAGAAGTCATGTAACAGTATCCAGTCCAAAACAAGGCCTCTTTCTGTCCTCACAAGATGCCAAATATCTTTAAAAAAAAAAAAAAAAAAATAAGGCCGGGTACAATATGCACCTGTAATCCCAGCACTTCGGGAGGCTGAGGCAGGAGGATCACTTGAGCTCAGGCGTTCTAGACGCACACGCAAGTATATACTCATGAGGGTGGAACCTCCTTAAAAAACAATTATTTTTTGAAGGGTGGGCCTCTTATAGTACAGGCTTCCCTTGCTAGGTAAGTGTTCTAGCAACCCATCAGCATCAGTGTACCAGCTAGCATTGTTTTGAGAAGATGTATTGGCTAATGAATTTTTTTTGGAGGTTCTTTCATTGCATTTGCCCATTTCACGGTGGGTTATTTACAAGTTCACCTGCCAACACTACGCTGTATTCAGTAGTTTCTGTTGTGTAACTGCCATGCATGCCCCACCCTCCCAATTCACCTGATCTCACTCTGAGTGACTTTTTTTTGTTTCCCCAATGAAAAAAGTCCTCAGAGGGGAACATTTTGCCAATGTGGAAGAGGCGAAACAAAAAACAGCAGAAGACTAAAAGGCATCAAAATTGATGAGTTCAAAACTATTTTGAGCAATGGAAAAAGGTGTATTACATCAAATGGAGAATGCTTTGAAGATGACTGAACCTTAAACATGTAAGAATAAATACACAGTGTTTTATAAATAAATTTTGGGTTTAAATGAGACTGCATTTAAACACATTTAGAAAAGGGAATGTAGAATCATTTACTTAGCTTTCTGGGACAGTGGTTTCTCGTCTCCAAAGCAAGGATATTGGACTGGATTAGCTCTGAGGTACCACCCAAGTCCTTAAACAAGGCAAACTTGTTTCTTTCAAGTTTTTTTTCCAGAGAAGCTCCTTAGTCCAGGGATAAGTTTTCCAAAGGAAAGGACAAAATATAATAAAGTAACCTGCTTCCAGGCCTCAGTTTTGACCCAAAGCCTTTCCTTCTTTTTCTTTCCTCCATGCACTTTCTCCTTTGTGACTCACCTAATTTCCTTTTTTTTTTGGAGTCAGAGTCTTAACTTTGCCACCCAGGCTGGAATGCAATGACATGCTCACAGCCACCACAGCCTCGACCTCCTGGGCTCAGGTGATTCTTTTGCCTCAGCCCTCCAAGTAGCTGGAACTACAGGCGCAAGCTACCATGCCCGGCTAATTTTTTGATTTATTGTAGAGATGAGGTCTCACCAAGTTGCCCAGGCTGGTCTTGAACCTGTAGGCTTAGGCATTCCTCACCTCAGCTTCCCAAAGTGCTGGGATTATAGGCATGAGCCACCATGCCCGGCCTCTCACTAATTTCTTATATCTTAACTAAAGTCTATGCTCTGAGGTTTTCTATGTCTTATCTCTGCCTACAGATTAAATTCTTAACCGCCAGTTCCTCTGACTGATGGAACTATTTCTTTCCTACTGTGCTCCCCATGGGAATCACTACCATTTTGTAGGAAAAAAAAGACTCTTAAGTTTTATTTTCACACTCTTTTCATATTCAAGTCGTCATATTCTAGATTTTTTTTTTTTTTTGAGTCGGAGTCTCACTCTGTCTCCCAGGCTGGAGTAAGCGGCATGTTCACAGCCACTGCAGCCTCAACCTGCTGGGCTCAGGTGATCCTTCCACCTCAGCCTTCCAAGTAGCTGGAACTATAGGCACATGCCACATGCCTGGCTAATTTTTTGATTTATTATAGAGATGAAGTCTCACCAAGTTGTCCAGGCTGGTCTCAGGGAATCCCCTTATCTCAGGCTCACAAAGTTCAAAGTGTTGGGATTATAGGTGCGAGCAACTGCGCCTGGTCATTAGGCTGTATTTTTCTTTTCTTTTCTTTTTTTTCTTGAGTTGGAGTCTTACTCTCTTGCCCAGGCTGGAGGGCAGTGGCATGCTCCCGGCCACCACAGCCTCCACCTGTTTGGCTCAGGAGATCCTTCCACCTAAGCCTTCCAAGTAACTGGAACTACGGGCACGTGCCACCATGCCCAACTCATTTTTTGATTTATTGTAGAGATGAGGTTTTCTACAATAAATTTCTCGCCAAGTTGCTCAGACTGGTCTTGAACCTGTGGACTCAGGCAAACCTCTTACCACGACCTCCCAAAGTGCTGGGATTATAGGCTTGAGCCACCGCGCCCATCCCTAGGCTGTATTTTCTTTCTTTTTTTTTTTTTTGAGTTGGAGTCTCTGTCGCTCAGACTGGAGTGCAGTGGCCGCTCCCAGCCACCGCAGCCTCGCCTGCTGGGCTCCGGCGATCCTTCCGCCTCAGCCTTCCAAGTAGCTGGAACTACAGGCGCGCGCTACCATGCCCGGCTAGTTTTTTGATTTAGTGTAGAGATGAAGTCTTGCCAAGTTGCCCAAGTGGGTCTCGAACCCGTGGGCTCAGGCAATCCACTCACCTCGGCCTCCCAAAGCGCTGGGATTACAGGCTGAGCCACCGAGCCCGGCCAGGCTGTATTTTCTACACAGAATTTCCCAGTACAATAGTAAGCATAGTCAATCAGATATATCTACTAGAAATTCCTAACAGAATTTCTTCAGTATTTCTGGTGTACATGGACATCATGGAACATGATTGCATTAATGATGTGATAATGCAAAGGTTTTGGGGTTTAATGTAAGATATTAACCAAGAATGCTTGGAAACTAGAATATTACACAATACTTTGTGTTATTTAAAATAGTCAAAAAATCAACAAAATACAAATGATCAAGGGCAGTTTCTGTTTTTTAGTTTTTTTCCAGTGTTTCATTAAATGACCTCAGCAGTGTTATTGTGATGAAATTAAATGCCACATGGCAAAACAATTCCAGCCAGAATGATCAAATCTTTGCCCAGAGCCAAGTCTGGAAGATTAGCCTCTAAAAGAGAACTCCAATTAAAGAGAAATCAGTGCTAAGTTCCAGCTTCTGGCTAAATAAAGTGAACAGCGTGAATAGCTTTCAAGCTGGGACAAAGTGAAAGAAAAGAGACGGCTGTACCAGATCTGTGAGCATGGGTTGTTCCCAAAATATATTGAGGGTAATGGCTCTTTGCTTGAGGGATGGGGGGCAACCATCTGGGAGAGAGATTTTCAACATATCTTTGCAAGCAGAATTCAAGATGTGAGATGGCCGAGTTTTAGACCATCAGGACAAATTCAGGTGTGTGGTTTCTCTAGTTAGGGCTTCTGGCTACTTCCAAACCTCTGGCTGATTTTCTGCTTCGGATTTCCTGTTGCATGTTGTACATCTTCACTGGGCTCCCACAGACACCGCAAGTTCAAAATATCCCTGCCTGATGAAATCTGCCTCTATTTCTCTATTCTCTGTAAGATGCCCTTGTATTTCTGCATTCAGCACCACTCATCTCATCATCCAAGAGCCTGGGAATTATTCTAGACTCAAATCCCTCTCCCTAGTACTTAGGTACTCATTTGTCCCCACATGCCTTCTATTTCACTCAATGTATCTAGTATCAGTGCCATCCTCTTTATTCCTGGCTTACTTTCTACCTTCATT